ACCACAGAGCAAGACATCTCAACGTGTGTGTGTGTGTGTGTGTGTGTGTGTGTGTGTGTGTGTGAGAGAGAGTTCATTATAACAAAATATCAGCCAGGCTATAGGGCCTGTGTTTGGTTTCATCAGCAGATAAAGAGATAAAACTGAACTGATTAGGAGCATGGCTACAGTGAATCATCCTTATAAAACAATTGTGTTGAATCACTGACCACTTCTAATATTTCTTTCAGGAACTTTCAGTGCATGCATATGCTACCGAGGGGACACAGATATTGCTATTCTTGTTATATTACAGCCAGACACTCCCAGATATTGCTCTTGGGCATCTTAAAATTTCATTTATGTTGTTTTATGATCCTGGAAAGGTCATTTTGTGCTGTTTTCAATAAGATTTCTTGTTATTGCTCCAGATGGTGTCATTTTCCAGAGCGCACTTTTGTTTTTCAGCATCCGCTGGTGACTAGATGTGGACTTATATTTACCACTATAAAGTTCTTATTGATGTATTCATTATCTGAGAAGGGTGTGAAACCTGAAACAATCATACGAGCTGTAATCTAACTTGATGTATAATAAATGACCGTTCTTAAGCAAACAGCATGATGGATTCTTCAGGTTTTGGCAGAGAAGTTTCACCTGAACTGGTCTGCCACATTTAACGCTTTCTTACCAGATTCACTTGCTGCTCAGAATGAAACATACACTGCTCATCCGCCATTTTAATAATATTCCTATTTAAATGCATGAACAATATTTGGCTTCAGGCAGGTCAATGCAGTCTCTCCATGTCTATACTGTATATATTTCTCTTGCTGTCTTTTTCGCTCTCTCTCTAACACACATTCATACTAAAATACTAAAATAAAATAAAATATACTTATGTGATAGCGGTTTTAAAAATATAATGTTTATATAAACGTAAATATAAACATATATCTTTATATATATTATAAACATATATTACAGTATTGGTTGCTTGTAATAAAGTGTAATGAAAAATGGAGTTCCTTTTGTTTTAACCTGGGAACTGTAAAAATCAAACACACATTCTGACCAGTGTTTTGCCCAAGGCTCTGTCTCTTTTGGCAATTTCAAGATTTTTTATTTGTCACATACATGGTTATATAGAGAATATATGACCAGCAGTGAAATGTAAGATTTCCTCGAAAGTGTTGGGAAATATTATAGAATACTGCTGCTCTGGATGACAAACAGCCCTTTCCAGTTGTGAAAAAGTGCCCTCCAGCACAAGATGCTGAAGACATCCTCAGCTTTAAGCCCGGTCTAGCTAACAGGATTAAATGGATGGGTTCTGCAGCTGGAAGCTGACAGAAAAAAGAGGAAATGCTCTCAAGAACAAGAGAAGACAGAACAAAGCTTCAAATTTGAGAAAATAAGAAAACATCACTTCATATACACTATACATAATGTTTATAATACAGGGGCGTAGATTACACTTTTTCGGGCAAGTGTGTTCGCATAGAGGTTTTCAAGAGCCGGTGTGAATAAATATAGATTTAAATTCAAAGAGACAGGATAGTCTGTGCATGATCTGATGTTTTATTCGGACGCAGAATAAGGCGAGATGAACATAGCGTAGCGCTAAACACTCCGTGCAGTGTATGTTTCATTCATACTCGAAGCCGGAGGGCACTCCCACGCAGAAAGTCGTACGAGGAAATTCCTAATATGGACAAAAGCATCCAGCTATCGCTGTATGAAATTTTCACAGTTGTTTTCACAGAAAAGTTTGGAAACATGAAGACATTAAACATACGATTGCGACAATATATGGTTGCACACACATACATACATTCACACAAGGCATACCTATACTTTTTGAATGGTCTAATTTTGGGTTTAAATCCAATCATCAGAATTCTGTAGAAAGGACAATAAAATGAAATCTGTGAAACGAAGCATGAAACATCAAACACATTTGATGCATCTGTACAATCAAATCGGTGACATCAAATCACTGTCATCAAATAATTGGTAGGCATTATTTTTTGCAGTAGCAGTATGAAATTCAGGGTGAAATATCACATTAAACATCACAAATAGCAAACACACACTTTGCAGCAACAATAGTCTTTTGTTGGGGCTCCAATTATAGTGTTGGTGTGTGTGTGCGTGTCCATTCAACACGACCAACACTGAGGCACTGATTGATATTTAAATTACCCACAATGCTTTTCTCACAGCTACCGTTATCACAAACACTGAACATACTTTATTTCTGACCTCTCTCTTGCCAAACAGAACCTCTTCGATCCTTCAATTCAATATACTTATTTATAAAGTATATTTCAACATGCACCTTGTCACATTTTAGATTTGCAAATGTACATTATACCTCAAATGCAATGAGTGAGCCTTTAAATTAGCGAGTCTTCTCTGAATAAATGCAAATGGTTGTTTGCTATGGAACACTTTCATAGTGTTATTTGCCCTGCGGCGCATCTAATCATCTATGTTTATTATACCGTATCTCAAGCTAATGGCATTTGAAAGTGCTTATAGATTTCGGTTCATTTAAGTAATTAGACAGGGCTAGCACACGTCAGTTCTTATAGATGTCTGGCCTTCAGGCCTTCAAAGCCCATAATCAATGACTGAATCATCTGAACGTATGTTAAAAGTACATTGACTGAGTACATGTTCCTACGAGTATGCACAGAAGTACATGTTCCTAATCAGCATTTTGTCTGGTTTCCAGTAGAAAATCACATTTACAACATTCAAATGAGAGAAAATGTACTTGAAACAAACTGCATGATATATTGTATTCATAATGCATATTAATATGTATAAAAATGTTCATTATATTAAATTAATATGCATAATAAATTGCATAAACTATTTTTAAGAGATGCTTTTAAAGGAAAACAAAAATATATATATTTTTTATTTGCATTGTTCACACACCAATCTGTCTGTAAT